TGTGTGTGTGTGTGTGTGTGTGTGTGTGTGTGTGTGTGTGTGTGAGGCTATGCATGCATGTGTTTGTGTAAGATAAAGAGAAAATACAGGGTAAAAAGGAGGATTTATTGAATTGATGGTTCATTTAACCTCATAATTCATTTATCCTCCCTTCGTTGTGGGATGATGAGCCAAGTGATGCTCTAGGTTTTACTTGACTGACGGCAGCATTAGTATTATCTTCACTGAAATACAGGTGGCCTGTGTCATCATTCCACAGTTGGTATAACCTGATTATAGCCTCAGTCACTTGAGACCTTGTAATAAGACAGAGGAGAACACAATACTGACAACTCTGCGCCCCCCCCCCCTCTCTCTATGTCTCTAGCTCCACAACTCTGGTCCCAGCAGTATCCGAGAGGCCGAGCTTCAAGTCGGCTGGCCGTCCCATTTCCGTGAAGAGAACCTGCTGTATGCCATGGAGATTCAAACTGACGGACCAATTAGCTGCCGGACGAACACCAGCCTCAACCCTCTCGGCCTTCAGGTAACATGAAAATATGTGAACATATACAACACACAGCCAGATTTCAAGCCCCAAATATATAACTGTGGATATACTCCCTTCTTTACGCACTCACAAAAACCAGCATGCCTACTGCTGTTTCAAACTTTTATTTATTTCAGTGCTAGCGGCGGATTCTTCCCTGCGCTGGTCCATCATTTATACCCGCTTATTTTAAACATAATTGTAATCGTTGTTCTGGCTGCTCTCCATGTTCTGTTGCCAGCTGGCTCAAAACGAGGAGGCTGGATTATTACGCTCATTAGAAGAAATTAGAGCAGGAACAGTCTCCAATATCTATGATATCATCCGTAATTTGAAAAGAAAACATGCAGTTATTTCAAGAAGTGTACAATTAGCCTATGTCTGACTATAAAATGCTACAAGCTATAAGCCTTTATGAAAACAAAATGAGTCAGTACATGGTCAGAGGTCAGACTTTTTTATTTCATAATTTTCTTGCTGATTTGCTCGATAATAAAACTGTAAAATAAATTGTTGGTCAGACAAAAATAAGTCATTTGAAGATGTCACTTTGAGTTTTGTGACGAATTTTCCACATCTCTTCGGCTAATTTATTACACAACAAAATTATTTGAAAAGAATCCATAGCTGCAGCCCATATGACAAAGCTTTAGAGGCAACTATTACAGAAACTAGCATGATCCCTCACCAGCCTCCCACCTCTGTCTCTGTTATCTGTGAGCCTTGACTGGATTATTCCGTCGTGACTCTTGTTGCTGTCAGCTCGACTTTATAAACTGCAATTGAGAAATGAAAATCTCCTTCATCGAAACACTTTTTGATCGGATCCCTGAATGTCATGGTTTTGCTCAGCTGCTGTATTTCTGTCATTTTATTGCATCTTTCATCTTACGTTTACAAGCATTCTCTGTCTTCATGTTTACTATCTCCTTCTTATTTATTGTCTGAGCTGCGTCAAAGCCCACGTGTAATACAGACTCCACTAACCCACCAATATATGTTCATCTGCAGCCGACAAATAATTATCATCATATGGCCTAAACACATGTTGTCAAGGAAATTATTAAAACAACACCAAGGAATGTGAGCAATGGAGCAACTACCACTTTTATTGTTTTACATTTGATCCTTTCTTTTCCTTTACGTCACGTTTTGTTACCTTAAATCATCACGTCACGCTACGTCACGCTACGTCACGCTAAGTCACGCAATTTTTCCGTTCCTTCCATTCCATTCCTTTCCTTACCTTAATTACTGATGGGTGATGTCTTCTTAAAGAATCTTATCCATACTTTGATCATCCTTTAGGTGCAGATCATTTTCAGCAGAGCTTTTGGAGAATGAAATTCAGTATTATTAACCCTCTCTCCTTGTCTTCTTCAGATCTCCGCTCTTCAGGACACACCTGAATTATTGGGTTTCCTGAGGAACACCAGTTCTCCTCCCCGCCGCCACAAACGAGCCGTCAGCAAAGCTCAGAGTTATAGCGGCAAAACCTTGGTGAGCCACACGTGTACATGTACTGTACATCTTCCTCACAAAACAGGCTCAACCAGATGTTCATTAGTGATTCACAGATGTTTGAGGTCTTCATTTTCTCCCTCTTGTCCAATCTCATGCAGAACTGCACTAATATCTCCTGTCTGAGGATCACATGTGTGGTCGGCCGGTTGGATCGTGGACAGAGCGCAGTGGTTAAGATCCGCTCGAGACTCTGGGCACACACGTTCCTGCAGGTCAGTGTCTTCAGCTGACTCAAAAAAAGTTTTGTGTGTTTTTTACTGCAAATAAATTACACCAACAAGGTTGATTCCTGTTCCTGTGAAACAGCTGTTGAGAAAACAATTTCAAAAATCGGTCTATTAAGTAGAGGTTCCGGACCTTTAATTACGTCACATGATCTTCATGAGCCAATGTACTTGACCCAGTTGTCGTAGACATGCAGATGTTCAAATTAGCATTTTTTCTGAGAACTCTGTGTCTCTCATCCTTTCTGGCTAAAGTTCAAACTAATTACACAGAGTATGTTACCTAATGAACAAACATAATAATGATTGGTCAAAGGTTAAATAAAGTCTTGTAACATGTGTCTTCCAGCGGCGTAATGACCCATATGTCCTCAACTCCACTGTGGCCTTCATGGTCACAGCCATGCCTTATCGAATCCAACCTCGCATTCTGCCTCAGCACAGCACCTCGGTAAGATGGAGAATAACTGGAGTGTTTGAGAGTGTGTGAGACGTTACAGGAGGAAATGAAAGTGTGTCAGCTCTTATAAACGCATCTCTCTGTTCTGCAGATGGGGACCCTGGTGTTGTGGGGGACTCCTGATGTATCGTTTGCCGTTCCCCTCTGGGTCATCATCCTGGCCATACTGCTGGGGCTGCTGGTGCTGGCCATGCTAACACTCGCCATGTGGAAGGTACAAAATCACACACACACATACATCATCCACCTTCCTCTGCATTCCTTTATGGTAGTTTGATTATCCAATCCTGCACTAATGGGTTAACATGATTCCCTCAGTGTGGTTTCTTTGACCGGGCGCGGCCGCCAACTGACGGCGACGTCTCTGACCAGGAGCATCTGACGTCTGATCAAACAGGGGACGCCTAAGTCGATGCACGACAGCCCCTGAATGGAGGACTTTGGTTTGGGAGGGATGTGCACCTTCTGAGTAACTTAAATCAGATCTGAGATCTGTAGTCATTGGACCCTTCATTCCTTGGCTGCACATCTTCTGCCTCTCTATTAATGACATTGACTGAAAGGACAGAAGGAAGACTGCAGCGCCGCTCCCGCTTGGGCCGAGGAGAGAGGCTCGAACCAGACAGAATGGGACCAAAACCCACTAAACAGGCTCAATCACACACACATGTCTATTGTTTATCCTTCACAGTGAGGCACCCGAACTGAAGACAGGACAGACTTTGTTGTGAGGGCAATGCTTTAAATGTTTCTGAACGTTTTCATGTGTCTGTGTTAGAGAGGCACAAAGAGACACGAGGTCTATGCACAAGTGCTTTTGTGACTGTTTGTCTATTGTGTGTGTGTGTGTGTGTGACTGTGTGTGCAGGTACTGTACATATGTGTGTTTATTAGGTGCCCTTTGTGTGAGCCTTTCATTCACTTATTGAATTCCTTCCCCACCTAATTTAATTTATCCTGGTTCTTCAGAGCAGGCTGTATACAGGTTGCACACACAAATACACACACATACACACACACACACACATGCATAGGATCCTCATGCATTAACACAAAGGCACATAGTTAACGTGTATATTTAAGAATGTATGTGCAATATTTGGGTGTTGTGTGATACTGAAGCTTGTTTACACTGGCATTATTTTTATCAGAGCTTAATGTTTCCATTGTTTATGTATATAAGTGTATATTAGATTTTAGTATTCAGAAGCAAATGAGTGATTTAAGCCACGTGACATTTTAAAAAGATTAAAGTGAGGAGACAAATAAATAAATAACTTATTACTGTGGTCTGTTACTTTGGATTTGATAAGACTTCAGACTTGTCTGTTAAGACAAAGGGTCCAGAACAGAAACACATTTATCTGTGTCTGTTCAATGTTGTCATTTCTTTATGTGATAATAAAATATATGCAAAGTGTGAGGGCATCAACAGTACCCAGAATTTAAACCAAGCGTGTGTCCTATTTGTGTTTTTTGTCAGGTTTTCTCAGAATAAAGAGTTGGTATATTAGTGATTCTCATTATTATTGGTTTATATGGGAAAGCAGACTTTACATATTCCTCCTCACCGTGAAGTTAGACAATGAAATCATCAGAGCATTTGTTGCAAGAAAACAGCACAGAAATATGAAATAAATCGAAAATGTTAATGTCTGTGTTTATATTTTCTTATTCATAGCAGCTTTGTGCCCAGACCAAGCAAATCACGTAGGTTCATTTTTCCTATAAACCCAGAAATGTGTTTTTTATAGCACAGAGTAGTTTTTCACTGTGCAGGATACATTTATACAATGATGCATGTTCTTATTTAGTTCTGTTTAAACATATTTTGTGTTTCGAATCAGCTGCTGTAGAATCTGTCTCCACCTCAGCAGAAGAACTCTCGCGCCCCCAGGTGGTGCAGTGGATAAATAAATAGAAACGCAAACCTGACCTCGGTGCAGGAGAGGCAGGACAGCGACCTCTTGTGATGATGACTTGAATAAAACTCTGCGGTGGTTATTTTATTTTCAGAAAATATCAGGTTATGGTTAAAACAATAATAAAAGAACAAAGCTGTGAGGATGCATCTCAGTGTTGAATATTGTTGAGGAGTGAGTTTGGAGTATTTGTCAGTGCAGCTTTATCTGTTGCACTGACGATGGCGATTTCAGTAGATTTTTTATGTGGAGTTATGAAAACAGGATTGTTATAAAAATTCTCTTGTTATTTCTACACTGAAGAATGTTTTTTTGTGGAGCTGGAATCAAGTCTTCGCCTACATGTAATTTGTTGAACTTGATATTTGACGGATATGGGCATCTACATCAGGTGCTGTGTGGTCAAACTTTATTTCCCTACAGTTTCTTGCGCTATACAAGAAAACACTAAGTCAACACTAAGTCTATAATGCATGATGGGTTATTGACTTTATGTTGCTACAACATCTTTGGTATTAAGTTTATTTTTCTAGGTGTGTTTTCTGTTCTGAGACTTTCATTGGTTTCTCAAGTCGACACTTCATGTAATTCTCTGTGTTGCAGCCTCAGACTTTACATCACATGAGCTTACAACATCACAGGCTGTTGGCTTTTGGGAAATGTAGTTTCTCAGATGCATAATTGTATGTCTAACTGGAATGCTCCCTAAACTAATGTCTAGTAATCTAAGGGATTAAGCATTTTACAGGAGAACAGAATATTGCAGAATGATCATGGGAGGACACAGACATGCAGTGTTTCTATCAGCTCTGTAAACAACCTCCAGCATATAATGTGGACTTTCTATCTCACAATGAAGCAAGGTTGTACAATTGCAAAGATATAGTATATCAGATCCATGGAGGTAGCTAATACTTCTGCTAATATTGTGTTTACAAAGTTCTATATGGTATGAATCAAGCATGAACACCATTATATCACTTCTTTGATGCTGAAACCAAACCTGTATAATTCCCTCTGTTGCAGATGTGAGTTTAGTCTTTGATATTTCCACTAACTGCCTGAATCAAAACATGATTTGTCATCCATGAGTTATTAAACTGCAAATTTGCATTATCCTTCATTTGCCATGCAGCTACTAAAGCAGATCATTTTAAAACACACTGCAAGTGATTTCTGTGTAATTTATTCTTCCCTTGTAAAGTAGAGTATAATCTGAGGCACAATAGGCAGCCACACCAAACACATCCAGGCCAAGTGGTTGTAGGACACACTTCACATGAGAAGCAGCTCGACAATATATAAAAAACATGTTGCTTATAGGAAATCATTTTATAACTGAGCAGCGAGGAGGCATTTCAGCTTTCAGACCTCCCACTGGGCTGGAGTCAACGGTCATCATATGTTTTAAATGCATTTGTGTTTTGAACATTCTATGGATGCTAACAAACTCTTCTTTTCTGTGTTTTTTCAAAGTAGACACCTTGTACAGTATTTCTCCATTACAATGTGTTTCAGAGGGAAGTGATCAGGAAATAATTTGTTATTTGAATTGTTTTATATACTGTATAAAATGCATAGGTTATTATTCAGATAGCTAAACTACAAAAGGCAAAAGGTTCAGTTTCATTGTGTTTCTCGTGTGAAATATCTGATCAGGAGAATGTAGGTGAAGCTATTATCAGACATTGTATCAGACAAGAGAGAGAGAGAGAGAGAGATACTGTGTTTGTTTTTCTTTAGACTCTTTATTTCTTTGAATATATTTGATCAAATGTAAAAGCCAACATTTGCAGTAAAGATTTAACAGTTTCTGACTAGCGAACCTCAACACCATCAAAATAGGGAACATTATTGATACTTACTACGTACGATAGTGGGACAAACTGTAACTTAGATTTATCCAGCAAACAAACCCAAATTACAAAATCCTTTCTTTTTTTAAAGTGTTTTTCTCCCATCATTTCCTGGGTTGTTGAGCTAGTGCAAAAGAAAATGTCTTAGGTGAAGCAATATCCTTTATTCTGTCAAATGAACGATGACGTATTCTTGAACGTAAACTTCACTTCAAAGGTCTGTACATGGGGATCAGTGTATTTCCTCTCCACTGGCGACAAAGGTCATACCAACATTATAATGGAAGACTTTGGCTATTTACAAATCGCTGAGATGTACTGTTTAGTGTACGATTTCTCTCAGTCATGCTGTACATTTATCTACGTGTATTAGTAACCAAAACACCCCCACCCTATATGTCAAAGTGCAACTTCATAGATCACCACATGGTGGTGCTTACACCATGTCCTACAGTATTTAGAAAGGCTTAAAGATTGTATTTGAATGGGCCTAATTCAGGCAATTTCAGGGTTTACTAAGCCTTTCCTTTCCAACAGGCTGATTTTGGGGTCCAACTTAAAGTTTCTATACGTCTGTGATCCACCCACACATTTGTTTTGAATGCTGTCACCTCCTCTCAACACAATTGACTGTTGTTGGTCCTCGTCAGGGCAGGCCAATGTTCGACTGTTTTTGAGCACAACTCCTCCCAGATTCAACCTGAGGTCTAACCAGCAGGAAAAGCTGTGTGGGTGCGTGGGACTGCAAATGATAAGTCAAGCATTATTTTATATTTGAATTATGTCAACAAATCCCATAAAAAGACCACAGCCAACAATGAACTAATCTAACTAAGCCTGATCCATTCTACTACTCTGATGTGACATTGACCAGAAAAGACAAGGAAGAGGGGAAGAGAGTGGCTGTGGCCAGGATGGTCGAGCGGATCATCGATTAATCCTCCAGTCTGCATCCTGAGGTGACTCTGAATGTCTGACAGCTGTGTTTGAATGAAGTGATAGTAAAAGGGCTACGTACATAAGGACTGTATGAATTTGTGTGAATGGGTTAATGCATCCTTTACTGTGAAGCACTTTTAATGGTCAATATATAAAATACAGTCCATTGTCATCATTCATGAACATGGGCCTTGAAGTTGTTTAGTCAGGTCGACATAAAGCATCCCGGTGCTGTGATGTATCAATCCGCAGCTGAAAATAGTCCCCACCTGTTTGATGTAGGCTTCTGCCTTTAAAACAATTAAGTACACTTTTGTGACCAGTTTTTAAAGATTTGTATATTGTGAGTGGGGATGAATGGGCTCAGGGCCGAGTGCCACTGAGAGGGTGAGGGGGTCAAAAGTTTGACTAATGCATTGTTGGTTTTAGTCTTTTCATGAGATTGATTAACAATAAGAAAAACTGAGAGTAACACCAAACTTTTTCTTGGGGCATCAATCCAACACTTCGTAGATGAATCGTGATGTCACTTCAGGTGTGTAAAAATAACCATTTCTGTAAGGAAACTTTAAAAAAGAATAAAGTTCACAGAGAGAAGAATGAAACATTAGCTCGACTTTGTAACAGTGATGATATAAGAGCACGCAGTCCCGTCAGAGGAAACAGTCACTGGGCAGTGTTTAGCCTGAGCAGTCGAACATAGATGAGAACAGTCAGTAACTGGGTTTACAATTAAACACCTTTCAGGAGTTCTAAAAGGTTCATGGCTATCATGAGAAAAACTGCAGTTCATATCCACACAAACTGTACGTTACAGTGTGCAAGTCAGAGAAAGTGTGAATAATGTCGACGTTGAAGCACATTCATGAACATTGGATTAACACCTGAACTGACCAGGAAACAACAGAGGACCACTTGATGTGGGAGAGTTAATGGAATGATTGAAAAAGGAGGCGCTGTGGCACATACAGTACATAAGCTACATAAGGGTTAGAATATCTATACACACACACTGTACACATTCTAGATACAACTTACTGTACATGATCAACACCTGCCGGCTATAGTTAGCTCTACAACTCTCTGTGCCGCTCTGTGAATAGTAGCTCTATTATATGTCATCAAAAATAAAGTTGAGATAGTTTTGCCCGACGTGTGTTTACATTCTCCGTCCCAGCAGAATATAGTTTCCTCTCAAAAGTGAACGTGTCATATGTAACGTGATGTCAAACAGTCATTTTACTCTTCTCATTATATCTCATAGATAAGAAACAGGGCCATCACCACCATCCTGCTGGATGCTTCATCAAAGTGCTGCTGCTCAGAACATACACATGTGGACACACATTAACACACACACACACACACACACACACACACACACACACACACACACTGTTCCTGAGTATGAACTGTAGGATTTTTATTTTGGCTCTACTCTGAGAAATCGACTATCCCAAGGACGGTACTCTGATATACCAGGTGTGGACATATCATCATTGAGGAAAACAGGTTTTAATGGTTAAAAACTCTTTAAAAACATGTGCTGCTGTGAACCAGGTACATTATATACTGTATCTAAGGCCATAGAAATCAACAGAATCCATCAGTGGAGTGGGAAGGTACCACGTTCCCATCATCATTTTTTTTTATCTTATGGTGTGTTTGCATTTTAAGTTGCTCATTATTTTACAAATAATAAACTGACAAGGGATCAGGTGGAAGGGGGTCCCTCATGGTGACCGATTAGCAAACTCTACAGTTTCCCTCAGGGCAACAAAGTTGTTTTGGTTTTATTGCCGAGAACTGTGACTGCTCTTGTTACCTTCTAGTTTTCAGAACAGAAGCTCTAAAAAAGATGGACACTTCACTAACGTCAGAGCAAGATATTTTCCCCCGGGACCAAAATGAAGATGAGCTGGACGTCATCAGACTCATCAAGCTGCTGGAAACACAGCCCCAGATGAACGATGAATGCTAATGATGCTCTGTGTGTCTGCTTGTCATCAAGTTTAAAAGGTAATAATAATAATACGTCAGTGTTGTGTTAACCATTTGCTGTGCTGCCCACATTGGCCCAAAAAATAAAAATTTGAGTATCCAGTTTGGCCAACTGCGGTTTATTTTGCAGTATGAGGGCTGAAGCCACACAAAGACTGGCTGAAAAACTCTTTCAGAGGTATAAGACAGAAATACATTTTCCCTTTTTGTACATGTTGGAATAGCTGCACGAGGCAGCCAGCCTGAAGGTCAAAAAAAACACACGGTGTCCTTGGAAGGAATCATCAGGAATTAGCAAACTATCAAGGTAAAGTTGACCGAGGAATGCACTCATGTGCAACTGCTGTCACCCGTGTATTGAAAAGCACTGGTGCCACGTTCTCAGCATATTCATCACTGGTGCAGCAAACAGCACATGAGTGACTTCATGAGTCAGTATTGAGGATAAATTCAGTGGTTTACATTCAGGCCTTTTTCCATTTCAGTATTTGAAGGCTGCACTGACAACAGAACTCACAGCAACCAGCCACACACACACACACACACACACACACACACACACACACACACACACACACACTTACACACACACACACACACACTTACACACACACACCTGACTCGTGTGCTCTGTTGGACAGCTACACAGAAAAACACACAAACACAAACTTACGGAGACAGGTGACACAAACTGACAGTGGCAGCACACATCTGTCATGGTGTGAAAATAAAAAAAAAACTGTAGTGACAGAAGAGAACTGAAAACTTCATCAGATACACAGAGACAGCATAAATCACAGGTCATGATGATCGAGCGTTGTCACGGAAACACCACAGGTCTCTCTTTGACTCATTAACCTCACTTCAAATCAAACACAAAACAGACCTGACAAACTATTAAAAAAAATATGGTTGCCCACTTTCTACAAGCTGACATCAGGGTCTGCGCTCGTTCACGTGAAGGGAGAAATGATTAACGGGACTGCATTCACCAGGTTTAAGCCACATGACACAAGAGTGAAACGTCTCTCAGGCCACTGCCATTCATACTCAACATTCATGCTGCATTCGTTTTTGCTTTCAGCATTGATTGCACTGATCTCATGTGTGATACCACGTTTTGAAGGTGCTCTGCCGTACTTCATCGTAGATATCAGACGTAGGTGAAAGAAAACATGTAAATACTGTGTAAACTCTGTCTATATTACAGTAGTCTGGATAGAGAGAAGGGGGGGGGGGACACAAAGCAAACCACAGGTATTTCAAATTCATTAAAGTTCTCTTAACAGTCTACTCTTCTGCTCAAGAAGCGTTCGCTCCCGGTGCTGGAGTGGCCCTCTATGCTGATTTTAACCTCCTGAGGGACGAAAGAGGGTTTGGGCAGAGTCAGAGGAGGCTCGTCCTCGGCTCTCTCAGTCTGGTCTCTCTCAGGAGCCGACCAGCGTCTCTTGCGGATGGCGGGTCTCTCTATATCACACTGTTTGGTAAGAGAAGGCATGTCTGTTTTCACTGATTCCTGTCTTACTTCTCCAGTCCCTGAGACTGTCAGCACCTGTCCAGCTCCGTACATCCCGTCTGCTGACCCTGGAACTAGTCCCATTCCCGGTGGTAGCTCTAGTCCTGGTCCAGCTACCTGTTTCCTCTCCAGCCTCTCTCCACTGGACGCCTTCATTAGGAGGCCGCTGTTACCGCCTGCATTTGGGCTGAAACTGTTTCTGACAGTGGCATCCACACTGTGGCAGAAGTCAGAGAGGTGACTCGTCTTCAGCTTGGCCGCCAAAGCCTGACCGTCTGTCCCCGAACCATTCCTCAAGCTGCGGAGGGTCAGCGACACGCACACATCGCCCACACACAGCTTAGCGCAGGACAGCTCAAATAGCTGGGTGGTCCGGTCGGGGCAGCAGGACGACCAGCCCTGACCGAACACGAAGAAGGGGTACTCCACCAGCACCTCCACACACACCTGAAGAAGAGCACAACAAACACAGTCAACTCTCTGCAAAACACAGACTCAGAGAAGGATTTACGAGAGTCCCCTGAAGATGACATATCCCCCTGGCACCCACAAAACATGAAAGACGATTTGGTGATTTTACCTGAAGTCAACGATTTATCTCAGGAAACCCATAATATCAAATAGCACCACTTCACCACCTCTTGAAAAAACCTCCAAACCATTTACTGAGTTCTGCTCCAGAAACTAAACTGACATACTGATCACTATATCATCAGGGGAATAATAAAAAGAACAAAGCCATTCAAAGCTACTATAAAAACAATTTGAAATTGATTATAACATGTTGCAAATTATTCTCTTAGTTTTTGTTTGTAGAAAATTTTGACTTTTTCACATAAGAAATTTTAGCATTCCACATTAGGAGAAATGCAGGTGTAAACAATAAAATAATGGAACATGAAATTTGTTGAGCAGCTTCATTTTCACGCTCCAGGTCTTGTGTACGCTGCCTGACTGTCACACTGTCATGACACTTAAATAGAGCGGCCTATACTGTGGGAAAAATGGAGGAGCTGGTGGTTATAATGGAGCTGAAGTAAATTTAAAGCTAATGAAGTTTTAGCTCATCACAGGTATGCTATAATTAAGTACAGATATGATAATCAAATAACCTTGTTGGTGTCTGCCTCAATAATCCAGTATCAGTCAGGCAACTCTTTTCAGACATTGAAAATGTAACATTGCTAATGGCTTTAAGCCTTTCAAACAAAGTGTCATTATGTGCAGAAGCCACTTCGGCATATGGTTCAAGAGAAGAAGCAGTGGACAAGAGCAGTTGGTTGAAAAAATGTTTCTTTCATATCTCCTGCATTAGAGCTGGATTTTGAAACAATTTTGTGAGAGTGAGTGATGTTTTCTTCTTCTTGCAATGAATGGATTCAAGAAAAAAAAATTCTCATCAATAAAATTCTGCTGCCTGAACATTGTTGTCTGCCACTGAGGGCGCCTAAGACTTGAGATTTAAAATTCTATAACTACTTGAATATTTAACTTATGTTTAATCTTTAAACACAAGTAAATCTTAATATCTCACCTGAGCTTTGAGCTCGCCCACAGAAAACTGTATGACCACAGCATTGGGGCTTTGCCCACTGTCAATGCGCTCAACAGTGCTGGAGTCGATCTTCAGCTCGCTGCTAATCTCAGCACTCTGGATGAAGTCCTCTGTCTTAAGATCCTCCACGCGCTTCAGCTCCCCATCAGCCAGCTGGATGATGGAGCCTCGCATGAAGAATGGAGGGAGCGCCACAGGCGAAGAGGAGGAGGAGGAAATGGAGGGGGGGGCTTGGACGGAAACTGGGGCTGAGGTTGGGACAGGGGCGGGAGCAGGAGTCGGGGAGGGAGCTGCCAACACTGCAGGTGCCGGGTTTGAGGGCAGGACTGGCAGCACTGGAGCATGTGTGGCAGGAGGGGGTGGTTGATTTCCATCTGGCCCAAGTGCCTCACACCTGGACAAGGCTGTGGCTAGATATGCATGCGGCATGGCGGTGGATATTTGAGGGGTAGTTGTAGCAGTCAGGGCACTGACAGTACGGTTGACCTCCATTTCTATGCCGTTATTGGTGCCGCTGACCGGGATGAAGAGGGACTGGCCACTCGGGATCACCAGGTGCTGGGGCAGCGCCGCATGGTAGCTGACAGCATGCTGGTTTGCACTGGTGATATAACCAATGATGGGTGGCTGTGTAGAGGAATAGAGGCTGGCTGGCAGCTCCTCGGAGGGTAGAGTGGTCTGGATGACTGTGTGAGGAGTAACAGACTTCACCACCTCTGAGGAAGAGAAGGAGGTGAAAGAGGAGGATCTGGACACTGGTTTCCCCAAGCAGATGCCTCCTTTCTCAGTCTGGACTATGGAGATCTTATTTGAGCCAGCTTCATGTTCATCTCCGTGGTTGGGCTGAGCCACCAGCACCAAGGAAGTCTGGAGTCCTGTGGGGTTTTGGCCATAGTCTGCAGGCAGAAGGATATGTCTGGCCTCATAGCTCTGGACCTGCTGATGGTTTGTTGGATGACTGGGAGCTTTTGCCTGCTTGACCACCTCCATTTCCCCATTCAGTAGACCCTTAGCATGCCCCTCTGGCTTCTTTCCAGTGGAGCCATCTGCATACTGAACCACCAACTGAGAGGGAGTGAGGGTAAGTGTTTGTGGGAGGACGGCTGTGTGAGGATGGAGCTGGAGGTGGGGTGAAGTGACGGCGTTTCCGCTGACGGTCAGAGGTGTTCTGCTGTCCAGATGGATGTACTGGCTGGTGACTTGGGGAGAGCTGTGGTGCGACACGGGTGTCAATTCTGTGGGGGAGAGGCCTATTTGAAAGTGCTGCTCCCCTTTGGTGTTGGGGGAGACGAGGGTAGTGGTGTAACCATCCAAGTGCGGACGCTGTCCTACTATGGTGGAGCTGTTAGGCACAGAGCTAGAATTTGTGGAGATGATGTGAGAGGAGATGTAGCCGGCATAAGGCCCGGAGCTGATGAACTGAACGTTGGGTCCCAGCTGAGCAAACTGGATAGTCCCAGCCTGCTGGGGGAGGGCTGTGGAGTAAACCGCAGGCAGAGACGCCAGGGGCACTGCAGACAGAGGTGTGGCCGAGGAAGGTGCAGATGTGGAAGGAGAAGACGAGGAGATGAGACATCTTGGGCTCTCTGCGTCCCGAGATTTGCAGCGTTCACTGGCTACACTTGCCAACCACGCTAAGTTCTCCGTGTGGGGACTATCAGCCACCACTGCTGCTGGGGGTGTAGCAGTGGCTACGACCACCGGCCTCTGCTCCAGAGCCAGGATCTCACGCTTCTTAGGAGGCAGGCATCCATTACTCCGCTCTTGGTTAGACTTCATTGTGCCACCACGGTTTTAATATTCCCTTGTGCTACTTCTAAGCTCCTCTGAGATTGTTTCCTCTCTTTCCCCAGCCCTCAGTGGTTGTGTGCGGGGGCTGGCCTCTCTGTGCACTATGTGGCTGTGACTCTCTTTGTTTTCAATGGTAGACAGCCCCAGGTCTCACACCAGAGAAGATGGAGTCAGTCCAGCTCCCAAAATGAGCTCCATAGACTTCATGAGGAATCATCTCTGACCGATCCACCTCTTCCACGGTCGGCAGCAATCTGATGGCAGAGAGAAGCTGGAATCAGACACTCAGATGATGTGCAATTAAATTAAAAACTCTTGGTAACACATTTTTAACACATTGTCCTCTATTATGCCCTACAATGAATAATATATAAGTTGATTTGACTTTAATTCAACTCATTGGCTAATTTCACTGCAGAATCAGCTCCATAAACACAGCATGTGTTTATGAACCATAATCCCTAACTGTTCCAGCAGTGATCAAAATGCAAAACAGCAAACACTGTAACACTTCCCCTTTAGAAAGATTTCATAATGTTCCTTGTTTTGCCACCAGGTGGTACCTTGTATAACTACTGCGTCAGTCAGATTTGTGTTTTTCTAATGCACTCGAACGCAACATGTAGGCTTCTCCAAGATCAACTTGTAGAGACGACCCCTGAGGATCTGCATGGACTAATCTGTCAAAACTCCACTAGCCTTTCCATGAGTAATGACGTACAACACATAAGAAGTACAGTGCAGTGCTGTGTGTCATCATTTACATAACATGGAAACAGCTCTTTCATGTTTCCAACAGCAGGCAGGAGTTTCCTGGGATGCAGTGTGTGTGTGTGTGTGTGTTTGTGTGTGTGTGTGTGTGTGT